AAGAGTCTTATAAGTAAATTAGCTCTTAAGCAGAAATTGAATTCACATCTCATGGAGGAAGGAGAGTCGTTGAAAGACCATGTTGTCGTGTTCAAGGAAATAGTTGCAAATCTGAAAACGTTGGAGGTTAAGTACGATGAAGGGGATCTTGCCTTGATCTTATTATGTTTGTTGCCTGGGTCTTATAGGTCGTTTCGAGATACTATCTTGTACAGTCGAGATACTTTGACTATAGAGGATGTCTATGATGCTTTGCACTCAAAGAAAAAGATAAAGCATTTGGTTGGAGCTACATCAAAGGATGTGGAAGGTCTTGTGTCTCAAGGTGATTGACTTAGAGGTAAATTGAGAGTCAGATTTAGTAATGTGACCTGTTACTGCTGCAAAAGGAATGGACATATTCAAAAGGATTGCGATATGTTGCAGGCTAAAGGTGATTTAGCTGCAAATCGTGGTATGCAACCTTTGAATTCAGACGAAACCAATGTAGTTGAGAATTGTTCAGTTGGCGAAGAGGCGTTGTTGACCGTGGTATCTAATGTGGAATCTAGGCCTGATGAGGAGTGGACTCTTGATTCAGCTTGTTCGTACCATATGTGTTCCGATAGGAATTTATTTCAGACATATGAGGTTGTTCAGCAAAGTGAAGTTGTAATGGGAAACAACCAATCTTGTTGTATTGCTGGGATCGGTGAGTTAGATTGAGGCTGCGGGATGGAACATTTAGAATAATTGATTAGGTTTGACACGTTCCTGACCTGAAAAGGAATCTCATTTCGCTGAATACCTTGAATGCAAAAGGGTATAAATTCTCTAGAGAAGGTAGAGTTTTGAAGGTCCAAAAGGGAGTCTGAATTGTACTGGAGGGATGTAGGAGATTCCAGTTGTACATTTTGCAGGGGAGTGTAGAACCAGTTAAGATGAGACATTTGGACAAATTTAGTACCATGGTAGAAGTCCAATTTGGTACAGTGTCTCTTGTGTTGGACTCTAAATCGGTTCAGAACATTGTTAGGGAGAGCGTTAGTGATTTCATTTTACCACCAAATTCAGTGGGTACACTACACAGTTGCTAAGGTAGGACTCATTGAGCATACGTACGGTGGTGCCAATAATGTCTAGGATGCTTTTAGGGATGTTGAAGGTGACAATTCCAGCAAGGGGCCTTCTGATCAAGCATCTGATTTGGTTCTTGCTACAGGTGTGCTTCAGCCCTGTGTGATCAACATTAATTCCTTGGTGGAATTAGGAACCCTGGGGATTGGGTTCAGGTGTCGGTTGTGGACGCCGGGCAGAGGACGAGTGTTTGGTTTATATGGAGTGGTTACTGTGTTAAGGAGATTCGGACAATTAATTTCGATGCAGATGGATTTGATATCTAGGAGTTTCATTCGTAACATCGGAATTTGAGTCAAGGTGGAGATTGTTAGGTTTGGTGACTCAAATGTGTTAAGATTATTGTTGATGTAGAATTTGATTAGTGGAATCCTAGAAATTGTTTAGGAGTCTTTTGAAAATGCACGTTAGATTTTTACTTGAAAATGGAATCTAATTACATCCAACAAAAGGAGACAAAATCCTGTTGAAATTGGGTCTCCTAATTGTAATATGTTTTTTAGCCTTTTAGGACTTTTCTAAGGTTGGCCTATAAATACAAGGCTCATCTATCAATTTTATTAAAGGAACAGATAGAAGTCAATTGCTAAATTGTTTTGTGTTTTCCATATTGTTGATTCAATAAACATCGTCCTTTGCCATTAATCCTTTGTTTTTTCTTTGCTACTAAACCTTGTTTTTTGGTGTTTATTGAATATTGTCATATAATCTCGTTCTTTAAAATCCGGTTTGAAATCAACGTGTGTTATTGGAGCTTCCGCGCCCCAGCAACATTGTCACAAGTAGCTTTAGCATCTACACCTCCAAGGATTGTTAAACGTACATTTTCAAAGACAATCCCTTTACATGGAACTGTCTCGCTGCAATCAAATTTTATAGCCACCTCCCAATCACTTGTACCTCTTGTATGTTTGAAAGTAAATCAAATTTTATAGCCACCTCCAAATCACTTGTACCTCTTGTATGTTTGTAATCACTCTCTTTACACGCACACTGGAAAAAAATCTTCCACAGATTATATTACCATTGTATAAAAGAGTTGGGAAATAATTCCATCAGACATAACGAAAACAACCAGAAGAAAAAGAGAGAGAATGAGCATGAAATAACATGCTTCAACAAACTGTTGACAATCACAGGAGAAGAAATCTTTAGGAAAATATCCCCAAGTACAGGGAAATTCTGTGCCAGTGTAGCACCTGATTTCCAGATGTTTTCTTTTCTTTTTCTTGCCAACTATCAATGAAATTGTGCCGAGTGTTTCCCTGTATGAATTCTGTGAAACTTTCCTTATACGTATAGCATTAATCAAGACTTTATTACTTGAGAAAACTACGCAGTACAATATTTTTCTTCCTCAGATAAAATTTGGGTTAAACCCAACAAAAAAGTCAGTTGTTGCAACATAAATAGATTAATGGTGTTGAAATAAAAGTGTAGATAGGATCACAATCAGACCTGTTATTGGCATGGCTTCACTTTATCACGGTAGTTTTGATCTTCAATTGTGGGATTGGTATCATTACCACATTTTTAAATTCGATATTCTTTGCATATTCGCGCCCTCCCTTCGCATAATCAGTAGAACCACAAAATGAAGACCTTTAGGTTGAAGAAACATGGAACATAAATTGATCTCGCGACTTTTTAATATTGATGTTAGTGAAAAAAACTGACAAACATCTCACATGTCTCAACAAATAGGAAATAATAGAACAAATACTTCTCTCTTTTTTCTTTTTTCTTTTTTTTTCATTTAACTATTTTAAGTAGGAAAATCTAGAGATACAATTTTCCCATTTTATTTTAAAATGGTAAAGGTCAAACTTTTGATTTTTGGTCAAATGATGGTCATTTCAATGGAAAGCATACAGAAGTCCTTCATACGTACATTTATTAAAAAGTTTGTGATGCCGTTGCTAAGATTAAAATGTTTGGAAAATAGTGACACGTTTTTGAAATGTTTGAAAACTCAACTGCAAATTTCTTTAATTTTTATGCGCACTTATGTGTAAGTTCCCTCTCTAAACCCCTGTTTGGTTGAGATTAAAATCAGAGTTTTTAATAAATTTTGATATACCAACATTAGGTATTCATTCATATCAATATTCCATAATTTCGTAATAGAACCATTTGATTGAAACGCGAAATTAAATGGGCGCGACAAATGAGGATTTTTAATCCATACCCCGGCTTTCGAAAATCCCCAATAGGGTTGGAATGGTAATGGCCTCCTCAAATTCGTCACATGGTGTTGTCGGAAATTCGACTAACGCAATCAAAAGAAGAAATAAAATAAGTAGAAAAATAGACAGTAAATGAAGCGAGGTATACCAATAAAGTAAGCAAATCTCCTTAAAACAGATTTCGCCCCCCAATGAAGTGCAAACGGGATTATGGACGTCTGTCTCCCAAGATACAACGCTCCTTCCAAAGTCGATACTGCACAATACCAACCTTGTCGGTCGAACCAATGAATGATCGTACTTGAACGGAATAACGACGGAAGTATAAGAGATTTTTTTTACGAGCAGAATATGGAGATAGAAGAGTTTAGAAATCAATTGAATTCGTAATTGATTTGGTGTGTCAAAAAACGAATATGGGGGTCCCTATTTATAGAGATTGAAGTGTCTCATGGAACAAGTGTGTGACATTTCAGGAACTGGTGCACCACTTGGTCTGATTCGTCTTAGCCATTGGATCGCACTATTTTTATGATCTGACTGCCCAGATTGAACCATGAAGTGAAGTATCCATTCATCATGCCTATTCACCAATTTCTGAATAGTCACAGCCATACGGATGCCACGCGTACACCTAACCGCCATGCAGGACGAAGGGACGCGACCTACCACTCGTGCGCCACCTAGAATGCCAACTCATCGAGCCTTGTGCTGCCACGTCATCGAACCACGAGTCCATTTCCGGAAACTATAAGGCTCCCCAGCTCCTCGCGACGATGCGTAAGTGCCAAGTGCCAAGTGCGCCTCTAAAGCGCCCAATGCGTACTTTGCGACGTGCGCGTGCCGGGACCGGGACCGGGACCGGGTCAAGGTCCGGGGAACGGTGCTAGTGGTGACTAGCCTTTGGCTAGTTTGCTAGCCTTTGGCTAGCTAAAGTTAGCCAAGTGGTAGGTAATATATTAAATTATATATTATTTACACAACCCACTATATAAACAAGACTATTTTCTTGTAAACTTTCGATGTGGGACTCCTTTCCATATAAAAACCACTTAAAATGGGCTTATCAACATATGGGCCTATATTGGAGACTTTTCCAATTCACTCAAATTAATTGCAATGACCCATATCATTAAATATTACATTTAATATTTTAAACTCAAATCAAACCCAAATCAAATTCAATTAATTCCAACACATGGTAATCCCTAAGTTATTTGCAAACCGGCCAGAGTCACGACAAGAGGAACTTTGAAGTATATTCGGCTAAGGTCCTTCAACGCTTGAAGAAAATTGTGCATGTGTGTATTGATTGTAAACTTTCATATGGTACTCGTATAATACGTTGTGTATAATAATAGTTCTTCTCATATATCTTAAACAAAAATAAAATTTATTTTTAAAATGAAAGTACGCGTCGCCTGGAATATTATTTTAATTATATCTTCAAAATATTATAATTAACCAATTCATGTTTTATGTTGACAATTGATATTCCTCACATGTTATTTTTCTCTCTCGAGATAAATAGAACCAATTTTCAATTTTTCATATATACAACCTAGCTATCTCTCTCGAATTTCTTTAAATTTGAATGGACAAACTTTTCATCAATAAAAAGATAGATTCGATTAACTTGAACATTTATTTTTAACTTCACAGTAATACTTAATTAAAACTATGAACAAACAAAATAAATTAAAGCAAATGACATTTAAATTCCTGTAAAATAAATTAAACTAACTACAAAGATCACTAATCTCGTGTAAATAATTGATAATTTATAAAAGCATATCAATTTTTACTTCATCAAAGGGCAACGTGGAGAAATAGATGAAACCCTATGATCGAACTTAAGGTTTCTGCATTTAGCTTTAGCATTTCCACCTGCTTTGCCTGTTAAATGCACATTTTGTAACACAATCCCTTTACATGGAACTGTCCTGCTGCAATCAAATTTCATAGCCACCTCCGAAGCACTCGTACCTCTAATATTTTTGTACACCACATTCTTCACTTGCACTGCTGATTTCTGCAATTTAATTTCATCAGAAGTTATTAGTCATTATAATTTGATGAAACCATGGTATATAAAGTCGATTTTCATGTAAAATCAGACCTGGTGTTGGCATGGTTTATCTTGATCGCAATAGTTTTGATCGATAATTATGGGATTAGTCACATTGTGCATCAAGACATTTTCAAATACGATGTTCTTCGCGTATCCACTCCCTCCCTTCACGCAACCATCAATACCAATTAAAAATATTCTAAAATAAAAAGAAAATAGAAATAACTTCCCATATTAATATTTGTATTTTATAATGACTGCATTTAGTAAATTTCAAGTTCTAATGCTCCATTTCTTGTATTACACAAATCAACTTTTAATATTTTAGCCATTTGACATCTAAAGATATGTATTAATTCAAAAAATTAGGGGAAAACACTAAATAAATAATGGAAAAAGTAAAATAAAGAGTTTGTTGAAGTGTGTAAAAAACGTTAATCTTAAATTTTAAATATGTTATCTATTATGTACAAGAGGCTCTTGGAGATGCTTAGTTGGTATTGACAGAATTTCGTGGATTAACTACCATATAATAAAAATGAAAATTTGGTGGAAAATGCGCTTCAGAAGAAGAAGAAATGACCAAAATAAGGCATACGTATACGTTGCTGAAATATGTTTTTAACTCGTAAGATAAAAGTGTGAAAAGAAGTTTAAGCCTTGTCTCGTTACTCATTAGTAACATAAAATATGCTCGGTTTCCATTTCGGTTAAAAATATAATCAACTTGGATATAGCAAAAAGAAATAATAGACATTATCCAATGTTAGAATGGTACCTGCCATGTCTTTATTCTAACTCCATTAGTAGTTCCTGAAATTGTGGCTCCATTCACAAAAACATTTGAAACATGGTCCATGGCACCATTTTTACCTAGACTTCCAATGCTACAAATTCACAAGGTAAGCAATATTAGTGCATATTAATTTCTCCATAACTGCAAAGATACGAGTAAAAATATTAAAGAGAAAAATATCAAGCACGCCTTTTTGACATGTTTGATATATTGAACAAGATAAAATTAGGGACTTATTCGGTAGTGATTATGAGAATTAATTTTTTGATCGTTAGAAAGAAAAATGGATCTCATCTGTGAGAGAAGAAATAAAAAATGACGACTGAATTAGGAAAGTAACGGTCAAAAAATTGGTTTTTTGGGATGAAAAATCAGAACCAAACATGCACGACAACTAATAAATTTTTCGAGTGCCTCTTTTCTTAAGTAATTTGAGTTAAACTTACTAAGCAAGCTCATTCATTAATGGTAGCTAAATTTACTCCTTAATCTTAAGTAGATTGGACTTTCTTATCAATCAAGTCACTTCGTCCAAATCAAATAACACTAAAATGAAAACGAACCTGATTCCATGACCTGGTCCACACACGATTCCCGTCGCGTGAACTTTTCTCGATCCATCCACTATTGAGATACAATCATCACCTAACACAGAAAATATTACTATTTCTTTACTTTCATGCACTGAAATATTAATCTTGTTGGTTAATTAATGAAATTAGAATGTAATTAAAAGAATAAATAACTATTAATCCATTTACCTGTTTTAATTACAGAGTTCGTAATATTGATATTTCTTGTTTTTGTGACATGAATTCCATCAGTATTGGGGCTCTTTTCTGGTGCAGTCAACGTAAGTTTCGAAGCCTCAACATTTTCACAACTCTGGAAATTCATATGCATTTGCTGAGGGTTTTTTATCCTTAAGTTGGTCACTCTCAAATTCGTGCAATTATAAAAAGTCAATGCCTGGAAAAAAAAAATTAAGGATATTGTCAAGAACTCTATCTGATAACGTTAATTTTGTTCTATGTGAACTACGGATAAATAATTAGAGCAAATTAAGGAGAGATGAAATTACCGTTGGCGCTCCTTTGTCATTGCAAGGCTTCCAAAGAGGGGAAGAAAAAAAAAATGTCAGCATATTATAGTAAACATGTAATTACAAGAATAAATAAATACAACATTTAGTGCATAACGTAAACTCGTTTAAAAGATTAAGATGGTAGATATAAATTTATTCTGTTAAATTTTATCTACGATGCATCGCTTTCGTATAGGAAAAATTCATGGTGCTCTCATATCATATTGAACCGTCTTAATTGTCCGAGACAATTTTATTAGGATAAATTTCATCTTCAAAAAACATATACTTAGGTACAATATTCCAAATTCCTTTTGGTTAAGTTCTTGGAGAGGAAACTGACTAATTCTACGACCAACAGCTCGCGACAATATGATGGAACTCGTTTAATTTTGTCAATAACAAAACATACCTGGCTTTTTTTAACTTTGCAAGAAATTTTCCACCATACTTGGCCATTGCCATTTATGGTTCCACCACCATAAACTTCAAAGTTTCTTACTTTCTCGAAGAATATCCATCGTCTTTGACTTTTCTCATACAACGACGTGTCTGGAAAAGCTTCGATTGTTCCTCGAATCTGTGAATTTACTAGTTATTAACAGTCATAGACACATAGCCAATTTCCACTTTTAATGTTCATTTTGCGGAGAAATTTTATATATACAGTATATGCAAGCAATGTATGTATACAACTACTCACCTCCAGTTTAATAGCAGATTTACATGGACCTGTAAAGTTGATTGGATTAATATAATAAGTCTTATTGGGGATTAGAATACGGCTTTGTTGGGAAGAACTGCAGGCCTTGCTCCAAGCTTTCTTGAATGCCTGTGGAAGTAACAATCGATGTAAAGAAGAAGA